AGGAAGGAAGGAAGGAAGGAAGGAAGGAAGGAAGGAAGGAAGGAAGGAAGGAAGGAAGGAAATGAAAAGTTTTAACTTTCTCTTTTTCATTTAATTTATAGGCAATTGCAATTTTACATGAGAATGAAAGAATATTGTATGATATAGAGAAAAAAATTGCAAGGCATATAGTGAAAATGAGAGCAAATAGTTAACATTAAAAGAGAAAAATCAGTCATCTTGATGGAAATTTAAAAAATGATGTTTGAAAATGAAGAGAGCTAAACAAGAATCATTTAGCATACTGTATGGAATTTAAAATTACAATGATTAAATGATTTGAGATTAAACAAATGAGGGAAGGGTATTTTAGAGATTTATATGGGAATGATAGTGATAGGTTGAAAAGTGAAATTTCTTATCTCAAGACTTTAATTTCTTTGGCATAGTATTTCTTACTTCTTTTCTACAATCTGCATAACTCATAAAGGGACAGGATAATAGGAATGTATATATTTATGTGTGTAGTAGTGAAAGGTAAGCCACACACAAGGGATTAATTTCTTCATTGAAATAACAGATGTGCACATGTACTTCTGTGTGAAAATAACATGTATCTCAAGCTGCCAGGAAAAAACAACATTGCATTATGATTCTTTGTAATCATCCCTGAGATTCAAATGGAAGGGCAATCAACTCCCATTTCAAAGTACACTGAAAATATAAACTGAGATAATATGCATTCTGAATTAAACAGGGTAATATTAGCCACTTAGTTTTTCATTTCTTCAGTTCAGTTAATTGATTATTAAGGTATCATTCACAGTATTCATACCTCAATTAAATCTTTCACTATTGTGTTTATTAATATTCATTTATTATAACAGTCAAAGTATTTTATTCAAAGTGCTTTATCTTGATTGCTTTTCAAATATTCTGTTTTCCTTATGGTGTTTGAGTGGATTCCTGTTTGCCAACAGAGATGCTGAAATCACTTTCTCTTCTTCTGGTCGTTTTAGGTAATGGCACACATTCATATAGCTACAGAGATTTAATTTCATTCTTGTTTCTCTAGACCAGCATCCAACTGGTACTGGACGCCTTAGCTGTTAAAAGCATCATCATCAAAAACAACACCATCATCTCCCAGTGAGGCTTTCCCTTGACATGGTTGTAGGGCTTGCATGCTCTGAAGAAGATGAGAGCTAGGGCAGAGGTTCAATGGACAGGTCTCATCAGAGGAAGTTAGATGAAAAGTGTTTCTCCCATAAACAATATGGTGAGACATAACTTATAGAAGCCTGTCCCAGATCAGTCATCACTTTAGTAAACAAGGATTATGCTAGGTACTGGGATTCCTGGACATCTGGTTACAGAACTCAGGACTGTTGGCTGAGCAACAGGGCCAGCAGCTTCAAGATTACTAGAAGAAATGTTGCTCACTCATAGCAAATAAACGAAGATTGAAAACAAAGAAATAATGATTTGCTATTACCAATCAAGTCCAATGAGAAGATGATATATGAAATGAACGCACCAGTTCTAGAAAGAACAACATCAGAATCAGAAGTAATACAACAAGGCTAGTAGTTCAATGTCGTCTATTATACAAAATAAAGTATTTACAGAAGTAGAATTGGAAAAAGTGCAAAGATCTATCTGCTGTTATTACAAGTTTTTTCATTTCAACTTTTCCTTGTTCTCCTCCTCCTTTATTCAAGCTGCATTCCTCGTATTTCTTTAGATTGAAAAGACGAAAATCACAAAATACAAATATCTAGAAATAGGAGTAGATTGTGACAAAAGAAAGCAATGATAGTACCAGTACTAACAAGTGCTTTGGGTGCAATTCCAAAACATCTGGAGTACCACTTAAACACTATTGGCATTGACACAATCACCATCAGTCAATAGCAAAAAAAGCAGCTTTACTTGAAACAACTTAAAGGTACATCCTGCAACGATTGCTTTAACACCATCAAACAACAGCATCTGCCCATCCCAGTTCCTCAGGAAGGACTTGGATAAAAATGCCAAAGCCAATCTAAACATCTGGCTAACTGTGTGACCAACCATAATAATACAATTTCTTGTTCCTGAAGGAAACAACTAATGAGATTTTCTCTGGATGAACTAAGCAGAGGCTAAATCTTCTTAGTGCCAAAGAGCACTGGGGAAGGAGCTGAATTTTCTTACTTTGCAGTGACTTTGCTGCTGAGTTAGACATCAGGACATTTCATATTTAAAAAAAACCCTTTCAGTGAAATCTTCCTTTGGTTTTAGCAGGTGTTTATACCTACCCAAGTGAAAACACTGAAACCTTGTTTGACAAAGAGGATACAATGGAAATCTGCTTTTGCAGCAACACTAGCAGCAACAGTCTCATAGTTGAATATCCATTACACACCCAAGCCTGCATTCCCATTTTGCGCTATGTGACCGGAATCCAGAAATTATCCAATGCCAGTTTTCTTAAACCCCGCTTAAGAAGATGGGAGAGAAACTATGCCATTAAATCCCATGCACCTTGAGGACCATAAACTCACTTTCTCTACATCATAGGCACGCAAGGAATCTTGTTGTTTTTTCCCAGCACCCATTGCTCATTCCAAGAACTCAGGTGACAGACTTCACGAGACATCTTGGCTTTACTTTCTGTGACTTATTCTATAGTACTCATCACTCTGGCACTCTATAAACATTTGACTCATGCCATCTGTTCCCCAGGCAGAAGCCTATGACCTTCATGCTGTCCAGAAAATACATCTGTTCCCACCATTCCTCTTCCTGCACTGGCTCCCAGACAGGCTCTGGTTGGAGCCTCTACTATAGATTGAAGGCAATGGCAGGAGCAATCATGACTTAGCAAGTGGGGAAAAAAGGCAAATAAAATGCGGCTGTTGAGATTTGCTTAATGGGCTCAGTTAATATTGACCCTATGTTGGAGGGTGTAGTCCGTTGGACTCTTTTACAGAAGAAGCAAAGTGTAAATGAAATAGATCCAAAAGGATTCTTCTAGATGCAGAGCTCAAAGCAATGAGCTCTCCCAGGAAGTATGCTTGCATCGGTTGTGGCTATTAGCATTTGCATTTGTGTATTTCTGTCCATTTGATTTTTGTCTGCTCAGAGGAATTTTATAAAGAGGCTAAAAATACCTTTTGGGCCTCTTTTGTGCATATTATTTAGGAAAAAGAGAGCAGGGACCTCTTAATTCTAGCCAATTTGTTATAAATATATATTAAAAAAACTGACTGGACTCTGCTATGACAAGGAAGCATGTTGTGTTTCATGTTTTGCTGTATAATCCAGAGGAAGCAGCTCTCTTGTATCAAGTACAGATGGTTAAAAAAATGTAAACTGGTGTAACCTTGTGCAATTGAGAAAACCCAGAACATCTGCTATCATACAACGTAAGTAAAGGCAAAGAAACAAATGCTTGCTTGCAATGAGCTGGGATCTATTTAGATGGTGAACCAGGGTGTTTGTGCCCAAAGCTAAGTTACATGCGATGGCAACCTGCATCACCTACCGTCCATGCTGTCTTCACGACGTATATTGAAGTTTTCATAGGAATCCCTGCGGATGAGCGGATCTGATGTGTTGTAGTCTACTGAGACACTTGGGCCATTCTCTAAATGTTCCATGCCTGAGAAACAAGGATAGCATAATTTCAGGATCAGAGCTCTTGGTGTCGGGGCAGTGAGGAAAAAAGGAATAACATTATAAAGCAGAGAAATCAGAAGAAATAAGATAAAAGCATAGAGGGTCTAATCTATACAACTCAGTATGAGAAAGTTAAGACATGAAGCTAGATTAACCAGTTAAGGTATTGAAGCAAGGAGGAACCATATCTAGAATCGAGGCAATAGCCAAAGAACCCGCCAAAGGAGTAAGTAGTATATAGACCAGGGAACAATTACACACAAAAGAACTCCTCTGTTTACTGTAAGAACAGTAGTTATTTAGGAATGTAATGAACTGAATTTTAGTTCACTGGGCAAAGGGAAATGGCCATCCATTTGTGAGGACTTGCTGTCCTGGTAACTCAGCAATTATCTGCTAATATTGACTCTCCTGTGGATTTTGAATCTTTCAGTACTGATACAGGGCAAAAATAATTATATCAGGCCACCTATCCTGGCAGCAAGTTTAACAAAACAAATGTAGAATTTCTGAGACCTATAAATGGAGAGGGGGGGGAAAGAAAGCAAATTGTTGAGTATTACAAAAAAGTAAATACCTTGAATCTTCTCGGGACCATAGGAGAATACAAATTCCACCTTCCCATACTCAGGAAATCGCTCATCTGATTTGTTTTTTTTAAAAAGAAAAGACAAAATGATATTCAGTAGGTATGTTCTTTGAACAGATGAGGCATTATAGAGTGGCCTGTGCATAGAATGAAACATACAAGACCATTGTTGGTGATACAATCAGTGTCTAAGCAGAGATAAGAAAGAAGATACTGGGAAGACCAGGTGAAGTTTGATCAGCTGGTGATTCCAAGCCTGAATTCAATTACAGTGGTAGGAAGGTAAGGCTCTGAGCAGATTAGCTGGTGGGTTGGCACACAGAGCATGTGGAGAAGAATACATCAGTTTTGCCCTAAATCATCCATACCTCTCCTCTAGATATATATTTTTTCATCCAAAATCCAGAACACCAAAATGCTCCAAGTTTCCATTTGGCTGAGTCATGACTTGCCCAAACCAATGTCTCCAAACTTCCAAACCACCATGCATTTGTTTTGTGCATGAAGCAAGACAAATGCTTTCGTCCACACTTCTAAATGTCAGTTTATAAATATACTCAGGCTGGTAATAGTATAGTGGTAATGCCTAGTCTGCAGGGCTTGTTGCAATTCGTAAGAAGTATTGCAGAACAGAAGATTCTCCATTTCCTGAAAATTGATTTTAGGGTTCTCATACCAAAAAGATTATAGGCCTCTCTTTGGCTATTTCTTTGTTGAGGATTTCAGAACTTCAGTGTTTTGTCTGTCTCTATACTCCATTACACGATGGCTCATCCTCAGTCAGCGTCGGTTGAGCCAACCCAATTCCAATTCTAAAATGTTTTTTTGCACCTGGACTTGGTCTCTGCCCTTTTTCTATGTTTCTGACAGGAGGCAACACCCATTTAGTTCAGTTCAGTTTTATTAAACTTGTATGCCGCCCTATTCGCAAAGGGACCCATTTAACCCTAACACTAACCCTTCAAGGGATAATTAGAACTGCAGAAAAAACAATTGCTACCAATCTGCCTTCCATTGGGGACCTGTATACTGCATGAGTCAAAAAGAGGGCTGTGAAAATAGCTACAGACCCCTCACATCCTGGACATAAAGTGTTTCAACCTCTACCCTCAAAATGATGCTATAGGACATTGCACACCAGAACAACTAGATACAAGAACAGGTTTTTTCCTGAATGCCATCACCCTGCTTAACAATGAATTCCCACAACACTGTCAATAATTTATTAAGACAGTATTACTATTATTCTTCTCTTCCTTCCTAGTATCTATATCTCCCCACTTATGACTATAACCATGTTGCTTGTATCTTTCAATTTATATTGTTTTTATTTGTTTCCTAGTATGATTTGATAGCTTATTAGTAACCTTGACTATCACTAAGTGTTGTATCTTTTTATTCTTGATGAATGTATTTTTATTCTCCTTATGTGCACTGAGAACCTGTCAGC